AAACAAAACAAAAAAAAAAATTTAAAAATTAAAAAAAATTAAAAAAAAAAAAAATAGAGCTCTTGCCTAGCATGTGTGAGGCACCAAGTCCAAATTCCCAGAACCACAGAACAAAGCAGAAATTCCTATAAACCACAATTGCCACATCCAAGAAATTGAACTGCTACAATATCTAACATAGTACACATTTTTGTCTCCTTATCTGTCTCAGTGTCCTTTCTTTTTAATTCAGAGTATAATCAGATTACTCGCTGTATTTAGTTGTCAAATCTGTTTGGTTTCTTTGGTCTATAACAGTTCTTCTGGTCTCTTCCCTTCCCTACTCAAGTGGGTATTTTTGAAGCATACAGGCCAGTCATTTTATAGAAAGTTCTATAGTTTGGTTCTTTTCTGGATCTGATTGTTTTTCTCATGAGTGGATTTAGCTTTAACACTTAAAACATTTTGGTAAGAATAAAGCAAAAGTAACATGCTATGATCACCTCTTAAAAATCAGATGATTCAGAGCAGGTGGTGCACACCTGTAATCCCAGCTACTTGAGAGGCTCAGACAGAAAGATCACAAACTTAAGGCCAGCCTGGACAATTTAGTGAAATCTGTTTGAAAATTTTAAAAAGGGAGAGAGGGGCTGAGCTGGGTATGTCCTTGCCTAGCATGTAGCAGCCCCTGTTTGCTAGTACCGGATTTCGGGGTGAGAACTGTAAAGATGATTCAGATGTCATACTCTTTGGATCTATACTCCCCAGTAGTAAGGGGATACATTAGAAGGAAAGGTTATTCAGTGAAACCAACATCTGCCAGCTCAACTCACCTTGAATAACATGCATGCCTCACTACGGGAACCATGCTTTAGGACATAGCAGTCCTACCTGAACCCTGTGGGAAGCTTTTTTGATAATTTCCAGGGGTACAGTGCACCCTGCTCTTGAGTTGCATGGCATATTTGGCTGATCAGACTCATAACTGAAAAGCTGGCCTTGGCAGAAGAGATGAAGATAGTTCCTCAAGGGCAGAATTATTGTGGTTTACAGAAATTTTACTGGTCTGTGACTGAATGATTAATGGGTAAGGAGCTATTGGAAAAGCAAAGGCTAGGCGCAAGGGTAATGTATGCTATTGGACTATTTCAGGATAAAGGGTAGTTAGTGAAGGTCAGTACTTAAATGGTTGGTTTTAAAATTGCAGGGTACTACACATGGTTTATTTCAACAGGTTGATGTTTTTAGGCGTCATAAGAAGGCAGGAACGTTTATGTTGGTGTTGCTAACATGAGAGCCTGAGTAAGAACTCTTACACATTCTGTACATGCAATGTTCCTTACTTAGGCAATTTCCTCAGGAACAGATCAGCTTAGGCTTTACCACCTTATGGGTTGCACTGTCATTTCCATTAGTTGCTGTATACAGTGATACCTTGATTTACAAACTGAACTTGTTCCACGATCCTCGAGAAGATTGCTATGGAGTTTGCAAACAAAATAACAAAAATTTTGCCAAACATTTGTTTGTGAAGCAAATTGTTCACAAACAAAAGTGTTCATGAACAGAGATGCCACTGTGGAGGCCATGACTGAAGGAATATGATAAGTGCCTGGCAAATCTTCAAAAGTGACGGTTGACTTTGTACCTTCTCTTACTTTTTGCTCATTGCTGGGACAAAATACCTGACACCCAAAGTTAAAGAGGAAAAGGTTTGTTTAGCTCAGTTTGTAGAAGTTTCAGTCCATCATCGGCTGGCTGTAAGGCAGAGGGGCACCAGTTCATGTTGGGGGAAGACAGCAAAAGCGATGAGAGAAAGAGAGACAGAAAGACAGAGAGAGAGAGAAAGAAGAAAATGCTTTCTGTCTCCTATATTGTATGCAGGCTACTCACCTTAGGGCAGGTGTAGCACTCATACCCTTAGTTCCAGCATTGAACTACAAATCAGTCACAAACTAGATTGAGCTACCAGGCCCTATCTAAAAGTGCCTGAGGCTTGGGAGATACCTAGACACAAACCATTAACATGCCCATAGCCGAACCACTTAAGTGTCAAGGTGGGCATCTAGAAAAAAAGTTGGAACAGACTCTTAAATTCACTCTTTCTTCCCACTTTGGCAGATGCTGCGGGTTGGGAAAGCAAAAGCAGATGTGTGGCCCAAAACTGCTCCAAAGAAAGGTGAGGAGGGCCTGTTGGTGAAGGGTAAGTTGGGCTCCTTTCATTAAGCACTCGTAAGTTGTTTCTAGAATTGTAACACTGGTTTTTTTTTTTTAGATGAGAACACCTTAGTCCCTCCTGCCCCTGTGGACAGTGATGGGGAGAGTGATAACTCTGATCGTGTTCCTGTGCCCAGTTTCCAGAACTCCTTCAGCCAAGCTATTGAAGCAGCCTTCATGAAACTGGATGCACCAGCTACTTCAGATCCCCTCTCTGGTAAAGGCAGAGAACTGGAGTGCTCAGCATAGGGCTTTTAAACTTACCACACATGTACTGGCATTGCCACCTGCATCCAGTGGACACCTGGATTGGTCAGGCTCTTTCCCCTCTGAGTCTCTAGGTCTCAGTCTTCAACATGCATGAGTGTCAGGTAATGTGCCACTTGGTGTGTTAGTCATATAGGACCTGCTTACTAGCCCAGATTAATTCTTGAAGCCTGCAAGTGAAATTCTGAGGAGCTCTCTTTTTTTCCAGTATTGATGAGCTCGTCCTACCTCTACATTAGAATCTTTAGTTGTAAAGGGTGGTTCATGAAAAAGTCTACACAATTAGACAAGAGTGACATGTTTATGGTGTGCTTTGTTTGCCTAGCATTGGCATATTAAATGGATGTAAATCTCAAATTACAGACAAGAAAAAACTACAGTCCAGGGAGGTAAAAGACAAAAGACAGTAAAAGTCCAAAGACAGTACATACATAGTGTGTGCTACAACTGGAATTTGAATCCAGGCAGTCTAATTCCAGACGGTGCTGACTCTCTTCATGAAAAGGCCAGGGGATAAGGGGTGACACTGGAAGCTAAGTGAGCTCTCTTTCTGTTTCCTTTTAGAAGAGAAAGGTGGAAAGAAAAGGAAAAAGCAGAAACAGAAGCTCCTGTTCAGCACCTCAGTCGTCCATACCAAGTGACACTACGGCCCCGGCTGCCTTTTCATTTGGTTTTCTTTTTTCCATGCTTTTGTTTTGCTGCTGTAATTTTTAAGTATTTGAGTTTGAACAGATTAGCTTGGGCGGGGGGAGGGGGTTTCCACAATGTGAGGGGGGAACCAAGCAAATTTTAAATACAGTGTATTTTCCAGCTTCCCGTCTTTACACCAAAATAAAGTATTGACACTCAGATCTCTTTCTGCCAAGATTTTGAGTTTGTGGCCAGTGTAGTCTTTTTGACCTATGTGTAATAATTGTCTCAACCCAAAATAAGTTGGAGCTCCTTTAGCATTCACTGGAGCAGCCCAAACTAGTGGTTGTGGCACTGCTGTACGGTGGCAGCATGTGCCAGACCCGCCTGGTCTCTCAGTGCACCCATCAGTTTGTCTTTTAAACACAGCTGAATCTTGACCGGGCGTGGTGGCACATGCCTGTAATCCCAGTACTGGGGAAGCTGAGGCAGGGGGATCACTGAGAATTTGAGGCCAGCCTGGGCTACAAAGTGAGTTCAAGGCCAGCTTGAACTACACAGTGAAACCCTGTCACCAAAAGACCAAAAAAAAAAAAAATTTTCCTGTCTATTCAGTTCTCTTATTAAAGGAACAGGGATGTGGGTGTGGTGATGCACACCTATAACCCCAGCACCCAGGGAGGCTTAGGCAGGAGGATTGCAAGTTTGAGCACAGCCTGGGAAATTTAGTGACTTAGTGATGTTATGTCTCAAAAATAAAGACTGGGGATGTAGGTCATTGTGAGGGCCCTGGATTCAGTCTCCAGCATATGTGTGAAGGAGAGTTCTGCCTCTTGAACCTGGCTTTTGGTAAGGGAAAGTTATCACCGTCACTAAGGCCTGCCACCCCTCACTCAGATCAAGCCTAAGTAATAGTAGCCTGAGTTACAGAAACAGGATTCTAGCACACCTGGAGATGTGCCTCTTTTTTGTCTGCAGCAGCTTTCTTATGCCTTGGTTTCAGCTGAATTTGAGTGATGTGAATTCTTGTGCTGCTTAATAAAGTGACCTCTAGGTGTAATAGAATGTAAAAGCACAGTTGCAATAAATCACATGCAAAAATAACGTGAACTTCTTGGCTTTTTAAAGTTCGTTACAGGTCGGCTAGATACGTCAGTTTTTAAGTTAAAATAACAGCTACTATGAGTTTAAGCAGTGTGCTCCTATGGACTGTTTTCTCTGGTGTCAGGCTTAAAGCAGAGCTGAGCTTCAACTTTCCATTTTTGAGAAATTCTGGGTCAGAAATGCTCTGGGATAAATGAAGGTGTTCCAGTTCTGACATAAGGGCATGGTGAAGCCCAAATCACAGATCTTTAAGAGACAGTAAAATATTTTGAGTGACATCCTTTCGTAACAGAAAAAAAACAGATCCAAGCCGGGTGCGGTAGAGCACGCCAGTAATCCCAGCACTCAGGGGGCTGAGGCAGGAGGATCACTGCGAGTTTGAGACCAGCCTGGGCTACAAAGTGAGCTCAAGGCCTGAACGGGCATAGCAAGATCCTGTTTCAAAGACAAAGATAAAAACAGATCCTAGAGATGGCACATCTACTCTTCCATGCCAAAAAAAATATTTTTTTTTGTTTTTGGTGGTACTAGGGATTGAACCCAGGCCTCACACTGAGTTACATTCCTAATTCCTTTTATTTTGATACAAGATCTTGCTAAATTACCCGGGCAAGCCTCAAACTTGCAATTTTCCTACCTCAGCCTCTGAGATAGCTGAGATTACAAGGGCACATCACCACTTCTGGCCAAAACCTATACTTCTTGCCAAGTCACGTGGTTAAGTATTGGTAAAGAATCTAGTATGTACTGGGCATGGTGGTGCACACTCGTAATTCCAGCAGTTGGGAGGCTGAGGCAGGAGGATCAGTGCAAGTTTGAGGCTAGCCTGAACTACATAGTGAGACTGTCTCCCCCCGAAAAAGGAATCTAATATGTGTAAAGCCCTGTAGCAGTCATGGTAAATCTATGGCACATGTGCCACAGTGGACTGTTTTTAATCAATGAAAGGTGTAAAAGTTGCCATCACTGCCCCACAGGTCAGTACAGTAGGGCAGGGGATATAGCTCAGTGGCACAAGCGCCTGCCTGGCAAGCGCAAGGTCCTGAGTTTGATTCCTGGTACAAAAACAAACAAAAAAATGGTCAGGACCCCAACTTAGGACCAAGTTCTGTTCTGAGTGGGAGAATTACTCAGAAATCAGAGTCATTTGTAAGCTGACAAAAAGTGTGTCTTAATACAGCAGTACATCTGTGAAAGTCCACAACTCAAATGTTTGTAAACTGGGGACTTAATATGCTGAGACTGGTCCAGGCATGGTGGTACACATCTGCAATCCCAGCACTCTGGGAAGTAGAAGGATCACAAGTTTGAGCTCAGCCTGGGCAGTTCAGCAAGACCCTATTTCAAAATAAAGGGAGATACAGCTCAGTGTAAGGGTCCTGTGTTCAAATCCTCAGCCTGTGCCAACCCCAAAAGCAAAATCTTGAGACTGAAAATAGATGATGTACAAAATTTAATTGTTGTTTCTCACTTATATCTCTACTACAAATGACTTGTCTTGCTTAGAGTCCAAATTGGGAATTGGAGGTGCAAAGCCTCAGGTGGAACACTGAACATTTGAAACTCATTACACAAGGAGCCAATCTTCTCACCAAGGCCAGGGCTGTAGATGGGGAAAGACTTGGTCAAGCATAAATTCTGTAAGCCCTGTTGCTGAGACACAACTGTGAGGCATGATTTATTTCGGCTCAGTTTGTAGAGGTTTCAGTCTGAAGTAGGCTGGCTTCAAGGCAGGAGGCGTGGCCATGAGGAAGCGGAGGAGGAGGTGGGTAACTGCCCTTTTTGGGCACACCCCAGTGACCCCCTCTCTAAGCACATGTCACCACCTAATATTCCATCTACCTATAAACACACCAGTGGACTAATCCACTGAGTATCACCCATAATCACCCCCCAAAAGCCCAACCTGTGAGCACTTGAGGTGTGGGGGGGACATATGGTTACAGAGCATAGCACCATTCTGTAACTTAGCTGAAGGTTACAGAAGCCAAGTACATTTATTCAGCCTACTCTCATCCAAGCATTTAGATATAAAAGTTGTCTATAGAGCCTTCACAGCCTACACAACCACTTACCCAAGGGATGCTAGACAAAGGAAACCAGTTTAACTCTTCCATGTCAAGCTGGTCACTGGTCCCCTGGTTGGGAGCCCTCCAGTTTGGAGAACTGTGGAACATGCTGCTCCTGCCCCCTAGAATGTCCAGTTCCCCAAGTGGCCCCGGCCTACTGCAGCCTGCTGCATGGCGAACAGAGTTTACTCCATTGTTTCTGTGGCTTCCTCACCACCACTGTCCGAAAGCTCCTCACCAGACTCCTCGTCTAGTAAACAGCTTCTGGTGACAGATTTCTGGATAGCTTCCCGCTCTCCTGGGGAAAGGCAGAGCAGAGATGAAAGAAGTTCGGGAGTGATCGCGGTTGATCAGTCTCTGGCGGGCACTGGGCCGACATCACTTACCTTCATCAGTGCAGCTCTGCAACAGGATCAACAGCTGTCTCCTGTTGTACTGAATCAGGAACTTCTGACATGTTCTAATTGTACCTGGTATGGGGCAGTTTTTGTGCTGGTCAAACTATCTGTTCTTAGTGGGCTAGCAGGAAGGCCCTCCCAGCTATCTACATGCTACTCCTACCTCCCACGTGCAGTGTGTTGAAAAAACAAGGATAGCGGTGCCCCTTGTTCTCCAAGTATGTGATGAAAGGAAGAGCTGACCACACAAGCTGGTAGAACTCCTTCCGGCATCGAAGCAGCACTATTCCAGTATAGACATTGAGGTATCGAACTAAGCAAAACAAAAAACACATTTTGGAAAACCTTCGATTCACAAGAGCAATCTCACTAACATCTCAGGGAAACAGCCTGTGTGACAGACTGCTCCAGGCAAGTGGCATTTCAGAGGATGCATCAGAACAGATTCCTGAAGAGAGAAAAAACTTAGCACAAGTTATGATTGTGGAGCGGCCGGTGCCTTACAGAGCACTCAGGCCTGGTGAGTTAATTTAGGATTTAAAATACTCTCATAGTCACTATATAGTCATCTTCACGCAGATAAAAAAAGTGGGAAAAACGGGTGGTTTTGTTGCAGTTGGGCCCTGTAGGTTCTTAGCAGCCAGCTGAGTCTTACCTGATAAAAGCAAGTTAAAAGCGAGTTATGCCTGCTTCAAGTAATTCTTCAGGATTCAGGTTTGAACTTATGGTAAAGGAAGGTACTAATTAAAATTGTCGGGGAGGGGTTGGGGTTGGTCTCTGCTTCGGGTTCATCGGCATTTACATATACACAATCATGCATTCTCAAAGGCTTTTTTTAAAAAACACAGGGTCTCACTAGGTAGTTCAGGGTGGCCTTGCACTCACTGTGGAGCCCAGGCTGGTCTCCAGTTCACAAGCGTTCCTCCTGTCTCAGTCTCCTGGGTGCTGGGATTACAGGCGTGTGCCACCACGCCCGGCTCAAAGGCACTTTAAGGGGTAATTTTCGCAACATGTGTTTTTTATGTGATGTCAATTTAACTGGTCAAATAAACCTTATTAGGAACTATACACGAATTCTCGCAATTATTCCATTAAATTCGATAGCAATCCCCACGATTCAGACGTGAAACAGGTATAGTAAAGATTCTCGTCCAAAGTCCCACTGCCTTCGGGCCCCTGCTTTTAACTCTGCCCAAGCTTAGACATTCGCTCCTGTCCTGGGGGGCCTAAAAACGCCAGTATTTTTACAAAAGATGCACAGGTTCGGCCGCTGCAGGAGTCTCCCGGCCCCTTTCTCCCGCTTATAGTGCTCTCCTTCCAAACCCCCCATCCGCTCGCGTTCCCCAGTGCCCTCGCACCTGCGAAGCCGATCGAGCAGGCGGCGGCGCCGAAAGTCCCGTGCACTCGGGCTATCGTGTCCCGTACAAGGTTGCCCAACACTCGGTCGTCCAGAGTTAGGCGGCAGCGGGGGTCATCTGACACCAATTCACACAGAAGGTACCTGAGGAGGCGAGAGGAAGGTGAGTGCAAGCCGGGGTCCTTGGAGGGGAACTGCTGGGGTAGAGGTGCAAAAAAAGCTACTTACCTGTGCTTGAACCGCACCATGGCTTCCTCAGTGCCAGCCGGCCGGACGTGCACACCGGAAGTCTGAACTGTCCCAGGCCAATGGGAAGTTCGCCTTCTCAGCCTTGCAGCCACTCAGAGAGGAAGGCAGAGTATGGGGGCGGAGCTATGAAGTTGAAAGGCCGAGCCCTGCGTCAATCGCCTTCAAGCCCCGCCTCCCTACGTTTGTAAGGGCGCATGCGTTCTTCTAAGTTTTTTTTTTTTTTTTTTTTTTTTAATTTAGTTGTGTGGGGGCTGGACTCCGCAATTGAGTGGCTTGTGGTGGTGGTGGGCGTTTCTGCTCCACGCTGGAGTTTACAATACGGGCAAGCCACTGTTGCATTTGGGCTATGTATGTACTTGTATTCTCTCCCCAAGATAGCGGAATTTTTGAGGCCAAGACCTCTGCACTTTCCGGAAGCCCAAGGATTGGCACACGAGAAATCGCACCCTTTTTCTCAGGTTAGAGCTCGGTTTTTCTACCTTATAGCCAAATATGATGTTACGGTTTGGGCGTTTCAGTAGTCTTATGGAGCTGGGTGATTGGCACGTTTTTATTATACGCACAAACAATATGTGGTCGTTGTATTTGCCAATCTTTTTTAAACAGAAAACACAAAGAGCAAATAAAAATAAATTATAATTCCAACATCGAGAGAGAATACCTGTCCTATAGTGTGTTTTCTTCCCTCATTTCTTCCCCAGTCAGCGGTTTTCAAAGTATGGCCTAGGGATCACTGAGATCTCCAAGACTCTGTTTAGGGAGTTCCCGACTTCAAAATCACTTTCATAATAATAAGATATTATTTGCCATTTTAATTCTCTAAAAATGAACAGTAAAGTTTTCCAGAGACTGTGATATATGACGACATTGCTGTGACTCTGGTGGAACTGTGGGGATTGATTTTATTTTTGGCGGGGAGGATACTGCAGACTGAGGCGAGAAGCATTCTACCACTGAGCTACAACTCTAGCCCTTTTGAGTTTTTATTTTGAGACAGGATCTCACTAAGTTGCCAGGCTGGGCTTGAATTTGCCATCCTTCTGCCTCAGACTTCTGCTAAGCAGATGTGTGCCACCATGCCTACTTGTAGTTGTATATTGTATGTTTGTTTGTTTTTGCAGTGCTGGGGATTGAACCTAGGGCCTTGCACCTATTAGGCAAGTGCTGTACCACTAAGCTACAGCACTAGCCCAGTACATTGTGTTTTAAACATTTTTTTAATTTTTAAAATATTTGTAGTAATACATATTTGTAGTACGTAGGGCTTACATTAATCGTGGCGCGTTGGTACATATGCATAACACATCTTAATTCTTTTTACTTCCTCTTCCCTCCCACCCCCACTTCCTCCATCTCTTGGTCCCCCCATTTCTGTTTTAAGTCCGTAGTAAATTTTGATGGATATAATCCACACAAACAAAAATGCTTTTGGAATCCTCAATTTCAAAGTCTAAATGGGTTGTGAGACAAAACAGTTTGAGAACTGTGGCCATATGTTAAATTACCGTTTTCTTTTTCAAGAATAGAGGATCAAGAGGGCGGGAAGAGAGGGGAAAGAGATGTAATAAGTTAAGATGTGTTGCACACATGTACTAGTTCCCCACGATGTATGTAATCATTGTGTACTGCAAACATGTTCTAATTTAAAAAAAAAAAAAAAAAAAAAGATCAAGCCAGACATGGTGATCCCCAGGCTGAGGCAGGAGGATTGCAAGTTCAGGCCCAGTTTGGACAATTTAGTGACTTAGCAAGACCGGATCTCAAAAAAATTTTTTTTCGGATCTCAAAATTAAAAGAAAGTCCAAAGGCTTCAGTGTGAAGGCTCTAGGTCCTATCCGCACCACCATACTCACGCACAGAAAAAGTGCTAGAGGATCATACTATTTAGTACTCTTTTTCTTCTTTTTAAATTTATTTTTCTAAAACTGTTTTATTGGGATATAACATATATAAATAGTGTATAATCTTAAACTTGGTGAATTTTTACATATGTGTAGATTTGTGTAACCACCACCCAGACTGAGATAGAGAGCATTTCAGAACTGCAGAAGGAGGTCAAAACCCTTACTAGAAGCAGACACTACTCTGACTTCTATCACAGTTGACTAGTTTTGCTGATTCTTGAAATTTCATTTTTGTTTTGTTTTTTGTTTTTTTTTTGTTTTTCTCCGGTACCGGGAACCGAACTCACGACCTTGCGCTTGCCAGGCAGGCACTTCACCACTGAGCTAAATCCCCAGCCCCAGATTCTTGAATTTTATATCAGTAGTTTACAGAATGGTTTCTTTAATGTCTGGTTTATCCTGCACGACATAATTGTAACACTTATTCTTGTTTGACCATATTTTCATGTCAGCTGGGCGTGGAGGCGCACGCCTGTAATCCTAGCACTCCGGAGGCTGAGGCAGGAGGATTGTTGCGAGTTTGAGACCAGTCTGGGCTACAAAGTGAGCTCAAGGCCAGCCTGAAGTGCATAGTGAGACCCTGTCTCAAAAAACAAAAACAAAAAAACAAACAAACCACCATATTTTCACGTCACTTATCCTGCTATGATAAACCACCATATTTTCACAAACAAACCACCATATTTTCACATCAGTTATCCTGCTATGATGTGGTCACCTGTGCAGTATTGGATTGTTTGGATGTGCTACTGTTGGGTTAGTATCGCCTTGATGCAGACTTTTACATTATTTGTAGGTTTTATTGTTACACTCATACTCTGATGCACATTCTTGTAAAGTCTTTATGCCTACCCATGAGGAGAATCTGTAACTGTCAGATGGCTGCCCTTTGCGGCCCAGGAAGGGAGGCACCTTTCACAACTGATTGTTTGCAGGATCTGGAATGAATTCTCAATTTCCCCACCGCCCACTCTCTTTGACCTTCCAAAGAGAAGAAAGGGAGGGGGTGGCGCGGTGGCCCTGCCGAGGGAACAATTACTGTTCTTTCTTGTCACCCTAGAATCTCCTCATTATCCACAAACACTGGCGCCAGCGTCCTTCTCGGGCAGCAGGGGGCGCCAAGGTCTAGAGAGTGAGGAGAGCTCGCCACGCAACCTCCGGGCAACCGCCTCTCTAAAAATAATGCACCTAACCCTTCCAGCCTTCATTCCCTAAATCCCTACTCCATAACCATTCTGTAGATGCAACTGGGGCCCAGACCCGTCACGGATCCAGTAAGGAGACCCCCAAGCCACCTCGAGCCCTTGCTGCGTCCACGCGGCTGATGTCCCGCAGTGCCCGGTTTCCCGGTCTCCTGAGGTTCGAGGCCACCACCGTCCAGCCAGTCACTCGCTAGCAGGGTGTTGCCCGGGAGGTTAATTCCCGTCTCTAGGTCGCAGAGTCCCCACCCGCGCAATAGGATAACAGCTCCTATTAGGAATTACTAGGATAGCAGTTGAAACGGGATTGTGCGGGCGCCGCGCCGGGCGCAGCGAGCGCATTTTGAAGGCGGCTGTGAGTGGATGCTTTGCTCCTCCCGCCGAGGCACAGCGTGGGAGAGGACGCTGGTCCGGCCTCCGGGTCCTGCAGCAGGTCCGGGCCTGCGAGGGTGCAGGCGCGGGCGTGGGGCAGGCGGGCGGCGGGGAGGCCCCCTCTCCGCGCGGTAATTAGCGCTCGGGCTCCGCCAGCCGCTAATTACACGTCTGCTAATGAGGCCGGCGGCTGTTTGCAATCACCCGGGTCCCCCTGCGCGGCGCGGGAGGCCCCGGGGGAATCCGCCCGCGGGGGCGTGGAGGGCGGCGGGCTCCCCGAGCCCGATCCCTGCGGGGCGTCGCGCTGCGTCCCGCCTGTGCCCGCCCGCGAGCCAGGGCTGCGGGCCCGCAGTCTGGGTCTGTCCCTTCGGTTTGTTGCCCAGGGGCGCCGCCGAGCCGCCATCCCCTCTCTAGGGGAGGAAGGGGGCTGAGGCTCGGAGGAGAAGTCGCCCAGGCACGACTCGCCCGGGTAGAATCTCATCCTGCCTGGCTGATCCGGAACTCTGCCCTTCATCGACTCTTCTACCGCTTGGCTTGATGGGGCAGATGCTATTACTGCTCTTCGTACAACCCTGGGATTCCTTGGGGTAGATCCTAAACCAGATCATAAATGGCGGTGAGGTTGCTGGGGATTGGGAAACTTCTTTGGGTCCGTCCCCTGTGCCCGTCTGAGACGTCCCACCCTCACTTTGCGCTTTGCATCTCGTTCAAATCCTGACTGGTAGCTCCAGCAAGGCCTCAGCCCTTACTCGGAAACAACCGGCGCTACAGGTGGGGAAATCTGGAGCGTTCCCTAGGCAGTGGTTGGGGCAGTTGCTGACCGCACTCCCCTTAGACTGGGGGCAGGAGGCTGCAGGGTGTGTCTGGTTCCCTGGGCCTTCTGGGGTTGGATCCAGGGTAGCTGGCTTATTCTTCACCCTATCTTCGGGATTTTTATTACGCGCTTGCCTTGTGCCAGACACTGCGCCAGGCACTTTCAAAGTTTGGCTTCATGCAGTGTTCGCAACAACCCGGTGAGCTTAGGTGCTGTTATTCTCTGCGGCGCAGAAAGGGGAATGAACGGCCCCAGCACACAGGGATGTGGGCGAATCTCTGTCATAGTGAAAATCTGTCCTCTCACCACCCTGTTCTCTGCTCCCTGTTCTGGCATGTCAGGCCCCAGAAAGATTTTAAGGGAGAAGAACCCAATCAGGCCCTTCTGAGTGTCTGGAATATTATATCTGTTGCAAAGGAATATTATATCTGTTTCAGCATTTTATAAACAGTCACTGCTCATTAGAGGCTCCTGTTCCTCTAATCCTATCAACCAATTTCCTGTAAGAACTCTTACGGGGACAATCTAGATAAAATTAAACCCTCCATCTGCTTGGCCAGGGGCCTGGGGAGCCACCACATCCTCTGAACTTCAGAGACAGAATCCTTCACCCCTTTCCTCCACAGTCCTCTGTGGACCTTGTTCCCTGCCCCCACTGGCTTTTGGGAGGACTGGCTCATCCAAATATAATTAAATCCAAGGGCACTCCTGCTTGACACAGCAATTTCTCCACCAGGTATTTGTCCCACAGAGATTCC